GGGCTTTATTCAAAGTGCAACAGGAAGCCACTGCAGTTATGGGCAGGGAACCGAGATGGCTCAGATATTTTCTCCGCTAGCGAGTGGGGACCTGCCACACAATCTTGCTGAGTAACTAATGAAATGGCTATGGCGGTGAGGGTGGAGGCCAGAGGCTCGTTCAACTGAAGTGGCACAGTCTGTGGCACTATAGGAACCTAAGCAGTATCATGGCTGCCTGGGCAAAAAGAAGGCTCTGCACCCTCAGACGGGACGTGAGTGGCGAGGCAGGACAATGTCAGACCGAAGTGGAACAGCTGATTCCAGTAAGGTGCTCAATGAGTACCTGGGAGACAGAGGCAGGGGAGCTCAAGACCAACCTGGTCTACACAGTGAGTTCCAGGCCAGCCAGAGCTACGGAGTGAGGCTTTGTCTCAAAAGCAAGCAAGCTGGCAAGCTCAGCAAAGCTCGGGAGAAGTGTGCTGCTAGCTAGGCTGCGGGGTATCACTCCCAGTGATGGTTCCTGAGAAGACTGAAGGGCAGAAAGACTGAGGGGATGTGAAGCAGCAGAAAAAAAGATCACAGGACCATGAGATAGGGGAGACTCAACACGGGCAGACTCGGTATGTAGTCCCTCAATGCTGACCACAGGGCAGTGGTGATCCCACCACAACTCCAAGGTACAGTTTGTACTCCCCAGCGTTTGTTCACCTTGGCCTATCGTACTCAGCATATTTCTCGGAAATTTAAGCGCTAAAAACTGGCTAATGGAAACATTTTAAGTAAATGGGAAAGTGAAAGAGAACTACTATATGTAGGTATGCATAAAGCTGAAGGGGGGAGGGGCTCAGCAGGGTCACCCTTGAAACTTCAGATCCAAGCTCACAGTACTGTAAAGCCCGAGTAAATTGCAGGATGAAACCTAAACACTGACAGCCGAGCGGAGGAAGTTCTAGGGTGCTGGAGGAAAGATGGAGCCTTTCTCAAACAGGTGACAGTATCCCGTTTTCAGTCCCCTCCCTGTAACTCAGAAATGTGATAGAAGAGAACCAGGGACCCAGACCTGACATCCCTGACTGAGCCTTCAGTGTGATCTCATGACCTCAACCCCGCCATCACACTGCTTTCAAGGCCTATTCCTGAATCCGGGTTTAAAAGGCTAGGACGCGGCTTCCTCCTTCTAAGAGTTGGGGAGCTGCGCAGGACCCCTTTGTCCAGGAAGACCCAGAAAAGACAAGAGGCTGGCGGACAGCGATCACAACCAGACAGAAACCTTCAAGAGACTCCCAGCGCAGAACTGACCACAGGCGGCAGGGGGAAAGGTCTAGGGTAGACAGCAGTGGCGAGGACGGGGTAGCACCGCGCTAGAGTGCAGGGAGTGGGGCAGGTGATCCAGCAACACCACGGCCACGCCGCGCCCGACCTTCCACTTCCAGGGTCTCCCCGGACCCGCCTCGCTGCCTACCAGTCGGTCGGGGATTTCTCGTTGACCACGCGCACGTAGGCTTCCTGCAGCGCCGGCCCGTTCCGGCTCAGGTTCACCGCCATGGCACGCCCCACTGACCCAGCGATGCTACAGCCTCAGCTCTCCACCAGCCTCCACTAAAGACAGGAAGCTCCGCCCCGACGGCCGGAAGCCTTGCCTCCGACGTGCGGAAGCCGCGCCCAGGAGGACGGAAGCGGAAGTAGAGGATTTGAGAGCTAGTTTGCCGGTAAAATTGAGGTAGGATAGCTATTGGTGAATTAGAATCCGTGAGAGGCGGGCGGGGCCTTGTGTCCTCGACCGCAGTTCCCAGGCCTCGAATCGAGCACCGCACTTTTTCTTATTCTTGTTTTAGTTAGTATATTTTGTTTGATAGTAGATTCCCAAGTCGCTCCGGACGAGTAATTCTGAACCTGTGTGTGCACTTGTGCCTCAGAAATTTAATCTGATAGCTGGTGCGGTGGCGCACCCCTTTCATCCCAGCACTCAGGAAGCAGAGGAGGTGATCTTTAAATTCAGACTAACTTGGTGTACAGACCAAGCTCCAGGACAGCCAGGGCTACACCAACAAACCCTGTTTGGAAAGGAAAGAAAAGAAAGGAAAAAAATTTAGTCAGCAATATTCTGCGTGATGGTACGCACCTGTGATCCTAGCACTCAAGAGGCAGAAGCAGAAGCTTGAGTTCTAGATCGGCCTGGGCATCATCTAGATCATCTATAAAAGAAGAAAATTAGCTCGACAGTGGGATAATGAAGAGAATCTGCTTTTCAACTCTAGTTCAAAAACAGTTGCCTGAACTTCCTTATGATGGATCATAACCTATAACTGTAAATTAAAATAAACCCTTTCTTCTGTAAATTGCTTTTTGTCAGGATATTTTGTCACAGCAGAGAAATAAAAGTAGAAATTACTACACTTAAAATGTTGCAAGAATGGGATGGTGCAGGCAGTGGTGGCGCAGGCCTTTAATCCCAGCACTCAGGAGGCAGAGGCAGGCGGATCTCTGTGAGTTCGAGGTCAGCCTGGTCTACAACAGCTAGTTCCAGAACAGGCTCCAAAGCCACAGAGAAACCCTGTCTCGAGAAAAAAAAAAAAAAAAAAAAAAGAATGGGATGGTGGTGCCGGTGCTGATGCTGGTGGTGCTGCTGGCGCTGTTAATGCTGGTGGTGGTGGTGCTGGTAGTGCTAGAGGATGGTGATGGTGGTGCTGTTTGTGGTGGTGAGATAACTTGGTGGTTAAGAGCACTGGCTGCTCTTCTAGGGACCCAGGTTCAATTCCCAGCACCCATATGGCAGCTCACAACCCTCTGTAACTCCAGTTCTAGTGTACCTGCTGCCCTCTTCTTGTTTCTGCTGACACCATGCATGAACATGGTGCACATCACACAAGGATATAAAAAATAAAATGGGTGTGAGGGAGGCAGAGGCGGGTAGATCTCTATGATTTTGAGGCCAGAGGACAATGTCAAGTGTCCTGCTCTTTCATTCTTCACCTTATTCCTTAGAGGCAGGTCTCTTACTGAACCTGGAGCTAGGTGGGTAGCCAGCAAGTCATAGGATTCTTCAGTTTCTGCCTCCCCATAGTACTGAAGTTATAGACACACAGAGCCAAACACAGCTTTTAAAGCAGGTTCTGGGTGTCTGCGCTCAGGTTTTCAAGCTTGTGAAAAAGCGCTCTTTCCCACTGAGCAGCCCCTCAGCTCCCGCTGTCATTTGTTCTTCAGGGATCACTTAAACCAGTGGTTCTCAGCCTTCCTAATGCTATGACCTGTTAATACAGTTCCTCATGTTGTGGTGACCCCAACCATGCAATTATTTTGTTGCTATTTCATAACTGTAATTTTGCTACTCCCATGAATGGTAATGTAAATATCTGATATGCAACCCCCAAATGGGGTCTCTACCCACAGGTTGAGAATCACTGACTTAAACCCATGCATCTCTCTTATCTCTATGGTCCACTGGTGGCGGGAGAGGGAGCTCATATTACTCTACAGCTGGCTTTCCAGATCTGCTTTTCAGTTACTGACCGAGGACTGAACTTAGTAGTGCCTATAGATGTGGGTGACACAGGACCAAGCACACCACGGTTCATCTTCAAAATATTCCACAGGTTGAACTGGGAGCAAGACAAATAGGTGGGCCCCCTTCTCAGTGGCAGAGAATCCAAAGGATTGAGCACAAGACTGCCCAAGCACAAGGCTGCCTGAGCACAAGGCTGCCCAAGTGGTATGAAGCTCATTTTAGGTTTCCAAAAATTAGTAATTTGCACTGGGAACATCAAAGGGCTCATTTTACTTTTTCTGCTCGTTCTCCAGCAGAGAGGACTTGCTTGGGAATACTCTAGCTCTAGAAAAATGGATGTTTGCTTGGAGTTATAAACTACTGAACTTGAAAGACTAACATTTAGATGCTCATAGCCTTAACACCATGTGTGCCAGGACTTTCCTGTCTGCCTGCCTCTGATGTGAAACTATGTCCCTTTGCTGGTTGAGTTACCGTCTACAAAGTGCTGTGTTCTGCTGAGCTGAAGTGCACGCGGTGTTACAGCTTGGGAGAGATGTGGTAGTAGCCTTGCAGAACACTTCAGTAGGAACATTCTTTCCCCTAACGTTTAAGAAACAGAAACTTGAAGAGTAATGCCCAACAGGGTGAGAAGCAAGGGAGAAAGTCCAATGCCCCAAAGGCTGATGACTACAAAGTGGTGTGAATGAACTCAGAATCATACTCACTGGCATTGGTTAGCTTCTTTTCTGTTTTAGGTAGTCTTATGTGACTGAGGCTGGCCTTGAACCTCTTTCCCCCATTTCTCCTGCATGCTGGGATTACAGGTGTGCACAGCCATGCCTGGTTACTTGTTTTCAGAGCAAATAAATCTCCCTTGGCTGATCCTCAAGTGTTAGGTCAGCAGACTTCTTCCTCCTTGCCCTCATAGGCCTGACTTGGTATGGGATGGCATAGTTTTTCTCATCTCTCACTGTTCTGATTCACCAACCATTACTGTCTTGGAATAGAGCAGCTTTATAACCAATTCAGAAGACTAAGTTAAGGCTAGGTGTCGTGGATACACCTGTTATCTTTCAGTGCTTAGGAGACCAGGACAAATGATCTCTAGTTTTAAGCTAGTCTGGACTATACTGTGAGATCTCATCTACAAAAACACAAACCAAAGAGCCCTCTAAAGAAACTCCTTAGATCTCCTCTCTCTTTGTAGTCCTTTCTAGAAATTTCTTTCCTAACCAGATGTAGTGGTATATGCTAGTAAGCCCAACTTTCAGAAGACTGAGACAGGAGGAACCAGAATTCAAGGCCAGCTTGAGCTATGTAGCAAAACTGTCTTCAAAAACACATTTCACACACACGAATGTGCTCACTCTTGCTTTTTCCTAGGTAACTAATGTCAGAGCCCTGTACTCTTAAGAGCAAACCTTGCTCCATCAGAAAGCTCATAGAGGAAGCCAAGCACTTAAGGCCTACTCAAATCTCTGGAGAACCTGTTAATTCTGCCTGAAAGGAGAAAAAATGTCAATTGTCATAGTTCTGAAGGAATTTCGTTTTTATTTGCATTTGAAGTCCCTCTCCTTCCATGTGTTCCAGTCTGTGAACGGCTTATGCTTGAACTTCATGCTAAGTTCCCAGTGAGAGAAGAGTGGGGAAAGCCTCACCACATACAAAAGCTTAACCCCACCTCTATGTCTGACGTCATCCTCCTTCTGGGGTGTTACATGCTTTATACATCCTGATGTTTCCCACTTGCTGTGGGTGTGAGGAGAGGAATGCAGCATATAGCACTACAGAGGGCAGAGGTGGAAGACAGCAGAAGCACTCTAACGGGATGCTCTTCCAATTCCCAGGAGCCTCCAGGATGCACTCAGACTCCTGAGGACATGGTTCTGTGGCAGACAGAGTGTGAAGAAAGCCCAGTCTGCCCTGGGCCCTCAGGACAGCACTGTGTTCTAAAGGCAAAGGTCATGTGGTTAGGGAACAGACTGGGCCCCTGTGTAGTGCCATAGTGACTAGTGGCACCATTTGAGGACAAGTAGGGGAGGCATGCATGGCTTGATTCCCCAGAGACAAGCAGACAAGTTGGGGCATAGACCAATTCTAGTGTAACCAGGAAGACTGTAGATCATAATGATGGTTGCTGATTTGGCATCAAAGGTGTGATACTGGCAAGGCCACAATGGCTGAAAGTGGCACCACCAACATGCTGCAGCCAGAGGAAGTGAGTGGCCAACACGTGTGTGAACAGAACCAATAGCTCAGAGCTTCACAGGAAGGCCACTCTGCCTGGCAAGCTTCTCTTGGCCAGTGTCTCCCATGGAGCCTTCGAGACACTTACATAGCGTATTTCTGTGTCCACTCTCTTGCTAGTCTGTTGTATCTGGAAAAGAGCAGATGGAGCGACACCCTCACTTAAAATGTTATCCTTTCAATGTGGAGTAGAGAACATGAGGGGGTAAAGCTGCCATTTGTCAGGCATCTGGGACTGATGGATGAGCGAAATAAAGGCTTTCTCTGGAACAGGACTTCGGTTATGGGTGTAACCCGTTAGCCTGGTGTTTCCTGTTGCTCCTCCATAACTACCTGTAGTGGTTTGCAATAATGCAAACCTAATCTTTTCTCTTCCATGCCCTTCAGTATGAATGAAAGATGTGGAAGGAGTTCAGCTTAGAATAGTCCAGGCTGCCTGGCACACAAACTCCAAAATGCTGGCATAGTCTGAATCCACGTGACCTTTTGTAGCTGGATCACCTCTCTGTGAATGGCTTATCACATCCCTTGACTTTCATTGACTAATTAATAAGAAAACTGCCTGGCCTGATAGGTCAGAACATAGGTAGGTGGGGAAGACAGAACTGAATTCTAGGAGGCAGAAACCAGAGGCAGAGAGCTGCCTGCCATGAAGCTGACAGGTCAGACATGCTGAATCTTTCCCGATAAGCTACACAGATTATTAGAAATGGGTTGAGTCAAGATGTGAGAGCTAGCCAATAAGAGGCTAGAGATAATGGGCCAGGCAGTGTTTAAAAGAATACAGTTTCCGTGTAATTATTTTGGGGTAAGCTAGCTGGGATCCGGGTGGGAACACAGCCCGCCGCTCCTCCTACAACAAGCACTGGCTGCTCTTTCTAGAGGACCCAAGTTTAATTCCCAGTACCCACATGGCAGCTCACAACCCTATGTAACTCCAGTTCCAGTGGAGTCAATGCCCTCTTCTTACCTCTGTTGGCGCCACATATGCACATGGTGCAAGACATGCATATAGGCAAAACACCCACACAAATGAAAATAAAATCTGAAAAAAAAAGGTCTGGATCTAGCGCTACACAGTGGGCTGTGCCATCAGTAGGTCTGCTGCTTGGACTCTGGCACACTTGACCCCTGCTCAGAGACTGCCACATACTAGTGACCCCTGCATGTGCTCTAGCAACTACACTTCAGCATACGGCTGGACCTGGCCAAGAAGGGGAGCCCTACAGTCCTGGGTCTAACCGGTGTGTAAACTGCTGGCAGTGAGGGCAGGTGTGCTGATCATGCAGCCACACTCTGGACTTCTAATCTCCACCAGCAAGCTAACCTTGGGAGTGCTGCCTACCCTGACTGGCTTCAGCCTCATTCTGGGGATTTCCAAGAAGACAGCCCCCTTATTTTATGTCATAAACCTTGTAATTTAATCCAGAATTTCCTTGTCATATTCTTCTGGGTCCTTTGTTGACTGACCACTGACTTAGCTGTCCCCAGGTCAGGGCTTGACAATATTTTAGGATTCAGCAATGACAGCAAGTTATCTGGAAGGGCAAAGTGCTTTTATCCCTTCTCTCTCCTCTGAGTCAAAGGAATTGTTAGGAAGAGCCAGGAGGCTAAGCCCAGGGCACACCCACTGCATACATGGCTTGGCTTAGGAGGAAGAGGTCCGTGGGAATTAGGGCAGCCGCACACAAAGCCAACCCAAAGAGGACGCATACTTCTCTCTGTCGGCCTTGTAGGTGTGGGCTATTTCTGGCACCAGTGGGTCATCAGGGTTGGGGTCGCAGAGAAGAGAACAGATGGACAAGAGAACTAGGAAGAAAAGAAAGCGTCAGTCAGCGGAGGCCATGGGCCTGTGGGTCCTTGTGGGTCCAGTGAACTTCCTGAACTGCACTTTCTGTTTCCCGCAACGCTCCAGTTTGATGATTCTGTTCAACTCATGATAATATTTGCTGTTAAAAAACCAGCATGCTGCACATCACAGGGTAGTTCCAGCACACTGTTCTAGGACACCGCTATCCCCTGTGGTCCGGGACTTTACCTCCCTACTTCATGGAAGCCCCTGAGGTCTTAGTTCTCACGCTCCCAAAACCCCCATCTGTGCCTATCCCACACACTGATAGTGCTCCAGAGGTCTTTGTTTAGTGGTAGGAAAACAGGAATTCAGAATCTTGAAGCTAGACTGAGACTCTGAACCAGGACTGCAAAGTCAATGCATCTTCCTACTGCGCCCTCCTGTCAAAGGCCTTGAACAAAGGAAGTTATTTACCGGGGCCTGCTAAGGAGCAGATAAAACTTTGAGAACTTTATTTGTGCTTTGCCCTAAATCTACCATGACTCAAAACAAACTGGCTTCACCGAGTCCAAAGTCCTGACAACAGTTTCCTACCTATGGGAAGGGTGGGTCCCCTTTAGTGAAGAGACTCAATTCTTCTAATGTTCCAAGAGTCTGCCACTTGAGGGCTGTGCGCTCCCTCACATCACTCAGGCTGCCTGTCCTTTGTAAGGCCCCTTGTTGCTGTCCTTTTCCTCCTCTTTTCCAACTCCTTACCTAAGATGCACTGGCCCTGGGGGCTGGCAGACTCTGATGGCGGCCCCTGACTTTCCTGGACATGGGATAAGGCTGTCTGCCTAAGGGACAACCCAGAGAAGAGCCATTTTGGCAGAATGTTGGCCTGTTTCCTAGATGTGTCAGTGTGACAGGGTCCACTGTGACCCTGCACAGCACAGAGGTAGTGGTTCTGTCCTGAATTTACCATATCCATCTCTGCAGGCCTTTTCTAGCATCCAAAGCCTGCCTGCCAGTTGTCCCATGTAGTTTGGGCCTCTCCCAATGTCCAAGCTCTGCCGTGTGCTTTGCCTTATGTCCACTCATCCGGGGGTGGGGTAGGTGACTTGTTGTATCACCTACCCATACCCAATCTTAGTTCAGGAGTACCTATAGTTCGATAGCATGGTTTAGATTGGATTGTTTTATTTTTTTGTTTCTTTGAGATAGGATTTCACTGTGTAGTCCTAGCTGTCCTATAGGCCAGGATGGCCTTGAACTCACAGGGATCTGCTTGCCTCTGCCTCCCAAGGGCTGGGATTTGAGGCATACGCCACCATGCCCGGCTAAACTGAATTATTAATCTCATTCACAACATGTTCATTATCACTTGTTTTGGGAAAGGAAAATTTCTTCACAGACTCTTGAGATCAGGTCCTGTATCTTTCCTTTCAGAGATGACTCACAGTCTGTGTTGGTCTTCCTTGGACGAATAAAGGAAGGAAGAGAAAAGTTTAATATTTGTCTTTTGACTTTTGGGTGAAAAATGCGAGTAGAGTTGATAGTGTCTTCTTGTACCCACTTGGCTGTTTTGAGTATCACTCAGTAACTGACTGCTGAGGTCTACTAGGGCACAGGTATGGTGTTTTACATGCCATCTCCTTACAGGGTGGAGAATGAGGTGGCACAGAACTGGGCAGGGCTCTGTGATCTGGGGAAGTCATTTGTCCTTCCTGAGTTTCCATGTACACTAGTCAGCAAAGGGGTAAAAAGTACATGAGACAGGCATGCTGAGTACATGTCAGTGTCTCTACCTTTGGACACAGTCAATGCTGGGGACCACTGTGACCTCAGGATGTCCAGGCAGATGCTGCCATTGCTGTTTATATTAGGGTGATAGATTTTGGTAGTGAAAGCAACCTGTAAAAATAAGACACCAAGTCAGATAAGCCAAAGGAGATCTGGAAAAGAACCCAAGTGAAGAGCTGTCGGCAGTGCACCCGTCCCAGCTCCTAAGGGGGCAAAGGCAGGCCGCTCCAAGAGAAGTACCCCAACCCATTTTTTGCTGGGATTCTCATTTTGAACATGGGGAACTGATGCCAACTTCCCAATGCACTGTGCTGTGAAGAATAACAAGCAGCGTGGTGGAAAGAACCCAAAGCACAAATATCTGTGCAAAAACCAACTTTAATTATGATTATGATGAGCAAACAGCCGGGCAGTGGTGGTACACGCCATTAATCCCAGCACTCAGGAGGCAGAGGTAGGTGGATCTCTGTGAGTTTGAGGCCAGCCTGGTCTACAGAGTGAGTTCCAGGACAGGCTCCAAAGCTACAGAGAAACCCTGTCTCGAAAAACAAAAAAAGAAAAGAGAAGAAAAAAAAAAGGGTATTACTATGTAGCTCTGGCTGTCCTGGAACTCACTCTGTAAATCATGCTGGCCTTGAACTCAGACACTCCCCTGCCTTGGCTCTTGGGTGCTGGGATTAAAGGTGTGTGCCACCACTACCCAGCTGTAGGGCATTTTCTTGATCAATGATTGGTGTAGGAAGACCCAGCTCACTGTGGGTGCTGCCACCCCTGGGCAGGGGCCTGGGTTGTATAAGAAAACAAGCCAGTAAACCATGAGAAGCCAGGCAGTATGCGGCACTCCCCCAGTCTCTACACACGTCCCTGTCTCCAGGAGTGTCTTCCCTTAGTGATGGAGTGTGACATAAGAGTCGTAAGATGAAATAAACCCTTTCTTCTCCGAGGTGATTGGCCATGATGTTTTATCACAGCAAGAGAGACCATAAGACAAGAACTAATCATAAATATCTGCAGTTTAATGCCCCAGCAGGTTATAGCCATTGTTTGGAACAGCAGAGCATCGGGAGAAGGTACACACACAGCTTTCTACTTGTGACACAGAATGTCATCGTAAGCTGTCTGTCCTTTTATCGAAACATTATGGGAGTTGGGGGCAGCCTCACCTTTGGGGGCTTGAAAGGATAATCTGTAGGGAAGTGGATGGTCAGGAAAAAAACACCTCCTTGGTAAGGACTGTCATTCTGGAAGGACAAGACAGGAAGAAATCAATGCCTGCAGGAAATGTGAAGTACAAGAACAAGCTAGAGTTGTGTATGCAGCATTACCTACCGGGCCCATGATGGTAGCCTGCCAGTGGAATACTACAAGACAAAAGAGAGATGGCCATGTAAGGGACCCCTCAGTCAAGAGTGTCTGTTCTACTGAGAAGGTGCCTCCAAGCTCAGGGTACAAGGCCTACACAGAACCGCTTCATTTCTGACACTGACTACAAGTTTGGGGCTTTGAAAAGCACCCTCAAGCTCCAAGACTCAAAAGGACTCCCAGGGATCCCTGGAAGTTCCTGTCCCCAGGGTTATAGGTACTAAAGTGACACAGATGCAAATTGATTTCCTGGACACAGCTATGGCCATCAGGAGCGCTTACCAGCGCACAGGGCTGAGCCATTAGTGAGACTTCACCGTGACAAGGCTGATGAACAGCTCTCAGAGACGAAGTTATAATAGCTCACACACCTTTTTTGGTTAAGAATAATTCTTTTCTTTTTTCAAGATTTATTTTTATTTGATGTATGTGTACCACACATGTGCTTGTAACAGTGTTGGATTCCCTGGAACTGCAGCTGAAGACAGCTGTGGATGCCACATGGGGCTGGGAACTGAAATTAGGCTCTCTGAAAGAGCAGCCAGTGCTCTTAACCACTGAGCCCTTTCTCCAGCCCCATGACTCGCTTACTACACAGGGAAAACTACACCTCAGTGCTCTCTCTGCACAGAATTATGCCTTAGCTAGTCTTCTGCCACTCTACATGTTGCTGTTGACAAGCCTTTCCTGCTCCCCAGTTTTCCCCTTGATTCATTTTGAAGCTCTTTTCAGAGAGTCTCTTTCAGGCTGTGGGGCCCCTTGGTCACTAACATCATCTCACTCAATGACCCAGGCAGTGTTCTGAGGACTTGATGACTAATCAAGATGAAGTTTCCTGTTCTTAACTTCCTGCCCTTCGGCAGCAAGACTTTCTTATCAAACCTTCTGTTCTCTCCAGTGTCTTGGGCTGTCTCCACTGCTCTGCTTGTGTCCAGAGCGGCTCCTTTGAATGCTCCAAATAGTCATACCCAAGGCTCCAGAGTCCTTCAGGGCAATGGACTCCAGAGCCTCTGCAGAAGCTGGAAGCCGTCTTTTCACTCCTGGGTGGCCTTCTGCGTTTTTAGAGGTCTTTATCTCAAGAGGATTCATCTCATATAAATTCATGACAGGTACTAAAATAAGGCAAGGGTTAAGGCTTGGGGCTTGTCCTGGTTTGCCTTCACCTGTTCAAATGCTCTATCAGCTTAGTCCGTGTCGGCAGGACAGAGACAACGCTAATGTTTAGAAAACAAGGCCTAAAGAGAAGCTTCTGAAACCCCTTGGGCTGCAGAAAGGCATCCAAGCAGCTCACAGATCTTCCTCTGTATTTCAATCAAATGCTTACTTACAGTTGCCTGAGCTAATGAAAATATCACTTCTTTAAAGCAATTTTAAATGATTATGGTGGTGTGTGTGTGGTTCCACAGCACACACAGAGGTCAGAAGATGACGTGGAGGAGCCCTTCCTTCCTTTCATCTGTGAGTTCTGGGGACTGGACACAGATCATCGGACGTGAGCAGCAAACACCTTTACCTGCTGAGACACTATGCCTAGCCATTTACTCAACTTTTAAATGTATAATACAGTGGCAATGTATGCATTAATATTCTTTTTGTAACCTTTACTTTTATTTTCTGCATGAATGTTTTGCCTGCAAGTATGTATAAGTACCATGTGGTGCCTGGTGCCTGCAGAGTCCAGAATAGGGCTGGACTTGGAGTTAGGGATGGTTGTGAGCTATCATGTGAGTGCTAGAAATCAAACCGGGTTCACACTTTATCTATCCAATCACCTGATAGGCATTGGGGCTGTATTAGCTACTGTCCTTATTGCTACAATGGAATACCTGACCAAAGCAGCCTAAGGAGGGAGGGAGGGATTTACTCTAGCTACAGTTCTGGGGTACAGTCCAGCATGGCAGAGAAGGCATGGCAGCAGGAGCTTCAGAAGCCGACCACAGCCTCTATGGTCAGGAAGCACAGAGAGGATGCTGATGCTTAGCTAACTTTCTTCTAATCTATTCTGGGACTCCCACCCGTGGAATGGTACCACCCACATTTAGTGTGGATCTTCTCACCTCAACCTAATCTGGAATTCCTTCCAGGCAAGGCTGAGGTCTGTTCCTATAGTGATTCAATCCACATTAGCTGCCATAGGTTGTTCCATTGGCTTAGACCCCGCCCTTCAAGTCTTTGCCATGTGAAGTATCCACCCTTCCTTACACAGTTCTCCTGTCACTGTGCTGGCCTTGTACAGACGACTGTCCAGAGACCCAACAGCCCACAACCAGCCTGCTGTGAGGGCGGCAGAGGTCTGGCTAGAGCTGCTTCTCTAGTCTCCTGTGGAGAAGCGCAGAGTACTGTCATCTCTTGGCCGAGGCACACAGCAGCTGCCACAGCCCCGCCAGTGTGCTCACAGGTCCGGTCCTCTTCAGCTAGCTGTGTACCGTTTGCACAGTATCCCACGTCTCATCTGGGACAAGCTGTCTTCCTTCTGACTCAGTAGAGAATGATTTCCGACACTTCAGGCTCCATCTGGAATGTAACCTGACCAGTCACACTGAGGTGAGCTCAGGATCCCCACTGAAAAAGCACTTCAGGCAGGAGCTTGCAGATCTTCACTGTTTAGTCTGCCCACTTTACTGAACTTTTCCATTCTCCCCCCCCCCCCCTTTTTTTTTTTTTTTTTTGATACTAGCCAAAATCCTAAGCATGCTCAAGCTGCCTCTTTTCTGGACTTTTTACTACGTCTCAGAAGAATCCAGGTCCCAGCTTCATACAGAGGCTGAGCTTCATTGTGCAACACACCTTTCAGGAACTCTAACTTAATAGGTGACTATTTCTCTTCTCCATCTCTTTCCTTCCGGCAATTGGTAAAATTTACAATTTGCCTGTCCTGTTGTTATTGTTCCCAAATTATAATACAATGGAAAATGTCCTTGAGCTTCAAAGACAACAAAACAATAAACAAACAAACAAAAGGAACGAATGAAAAGAAAAGCAGTCCACACTGGGCAAGGTGGCACTTGCTTCCAGCAATCTGGGAGATAAGACAGGAAAAGTAAGAGTTTGAGGCCAACCTGGGCTACAATTATGTATTCCAGGTCAACCTCAGCTGTCTCAAAACAAACTAACAAAAAGCAGTTTATAAACATGTGAAAGAAAACAATGAGATTTCTTAAGAACTGCTCAACTAAGGAGAGTGGGAATGCGGTCTGGCCCTGATAACATTAAAGGTTTTGGTTACAAGCCTTCTGGGATTTTCTGGAAAAATACTTACAGTCATCACCTACAGGTCCTGCAGAACACTGAGCGGGCGGATCCCTCTGTAAGTCAGTCAGTTCCTAGGATACAAGACAGGAGTTAGGTTGCTATAGGCCTAGGGAGCTGCCTCTATCACTGTCATCCAGCAGAAGGCAGAGACCTTCGGAGAGGGTGGGAAAGAAGGTCAGGCAGGAGGCTACTCTCAGAGGAGGATACAAAATGGTCACAGTTCATGGTGACAGACTAGAGAGATGGCTCAGTAGATAAGAGCACTTGCCATTCTTCTGGAAGACCTGAGTTCTGATCCCAGTACCTACTTTAAGGAACTTATAACTACCCTAACTCCAGCTTGAGGGGATCCAACATCCTCTTCTGGCCTCCAAGAACATTTTTACATATGTGACATAGACATACACAAAGACATACAGACATATGAACAAAATAAAAATAAACAGGGCTGGAGAGATGGCTCAGGTTAAGAGCACTGACTGCTCTTCCAGAGGTCCTGAGTTCAATTCCCAGCAACCATATGGTGGCTCACAGCCATCTATAATGATGCCCTTTTCTGGCAAGCAAGCATACATGGAAGGAATGTTGTATACATAATAAATAAATCTTTTTTTTAAAAAAAGAAAAATAATAAAATAGAGTTCAAGGTGAGAAATAGTTTGTATCTAGGGACCAAAGGAAGATCAAAATGTGAACCAGATAACACCTTTTGAGATTCACAACTTGTGAAGCCACCTATGATGGCTAATCTTGGTTGTCAAGTTGACTATATCTGGAAACAATTAAAATGCAAGCAGCTGGGCACACCTGTGAGAGATTTTCTAGACTGGATGATGTGAAGTGGGAGGACCCATGCTAAACCTGGGCCACACTGTCTGGTGGCAGCCCACATCAAAGGACACAGGAGAAGGCGGCTTCTGCCATTTGCTTGCTAGCTCTCACTCTTGCTGGCAAGCTCACCTATCCTGCAACCCTTCGCTGGTGGTAAAATGTACTTCTTTGAGATTCCAAGAGACTGAACACCAGCTGAGATGTCCAGCCTGGTGTTCAAAACAACCACCAAATTCTTCGCTTTTCCACAGAGAGACAGTCACTGTTGGACTAGCCAGACCACAGCCTGTAAATCATGCTACCAAGTCCCATATATATTTTCCCACTCTATCAGTTCTGTTCCTCTAGAAAACCCCGGCTAATACACCATCTAAGAGGGACTTCACACTGTGAGCCTAGCCAGCCCAACAGCTATCACACTGCCTAAAAGTATATCCTGGTATTATCACTGTGGAGTCAAGCCTTAGAAACCAGAGAGAACAGCTGAGGAGGAGACTAATGAAGCATGCTCTTGTGAACCTATCAAGGGATTCTAATAGACTTTGAACATTTTAAAATAACCTCTGTTCTGTCTTCTTGGATGTCTATCTAGAGCTTACAGTCTTAAGATTTTATTACAGCTCATGCCTGATCTTGGGTTTTTTTGTTTTTGGTTTTTTGTTTGTTTGTTTTCTTTCCAGATATCAGTCAAGAACTTCTTTTCCTCACTACATCTGACTGTTACAAATGGAGCCATTAGTGTATTTTCAGGGTCCTTTAGATAGGCCCACTGTTAACCCAACTGCCACACCTGATGACCCCAAAGAAGCCAGATAGACTGTCATCCTAATTCCCTAATGAGAGTTGGGGTTGGTTCTTCAGGAGGCAGAAAAGATGAAGAGAGGAGATAGAGATGGGATAGACAGGTTAGGGGCAGGGATGCCAAAAGCACAGTTATAGGAATGGCCTTGGCTCCTTGGCTAAGAACAGTAGGGAGTCGTGGTCTCTTCCTAACTCCCTCTGAATGAGCACCCCTGTGGGACACTCCAGTCCAGATATTAATCCCTTCTAGTGAACACCTGTGGAACAGTATCTCTGAATTTTCATGATAGGAATAGGTTTTGTTTATTCCCTAATCTTACTTAGTTCATCCCTTAAATGATTTTAGGATTACTTCTTCAAAGACATTGAATGTTACAGTGGCATTGGAGGTCCATTAAGTGAAAGCTATCTCCTGATACAGATAGTGGAATCAACTTTGGGTTTGGATGAAGACCTAATATTACAAGCTACCCAAAACCTAATAGTTAATCCAGTTGGGTGATCAATCACCTGGCTCAGACCACTCTTCAGAAGCGGTAATAAACAATCCCTATACTGGCCTAAGTCTGGGCATGCTCTCCTAACACTACTCTGGGTATCCTTGCTCTTTCTCTGAAGTGCCATACCCTACCCCATGAGGCTTCTTGTCTGCCATGCAGCTGCTTGCTAACTGAGCTCCAAGCCTAACTCAAAGGCATGACTTTCTCTTTCTCTTCTCCAGCTACTTTCTCCTGGCAGCAGCCTATGAGACTAATTATGTGTGTTATGGAGGGCAGAGCCAGGTAAGCAAAGCTGCCCAAGTCCTTTGGAGCTTTTAAGACCAGGAGCCCCGGAAGTCATACACTGAGCTATTTATACTTCAGAGAGGATCTGGGTTTTGTTTAGATTTGATTGTAACTGTGCCCTGGTTCTTCCCTTTGGAATAGAATGTTTGTAATATTTTGATTTTATAGAACTTACAGTTAAGAGACTTAGATATTTATTTTGGTTTTTCGGGACAAAATTTCCCTGTATAGCCCTAGCTATCCTGGAACTCCTTCTTTAGATCAAGCTGGTTTCAAATCAGGGATCCTCCTGTTTCTATCTCCTGAGAACTGGTATTAAAGGCATATCCCACTATGTGGCTTTGACTTTGGATATTTTAAAGAGAATGAACTCTAAAAACTTTTTAAAATTAGAGTTTTTTCATTATATTTTATGCATAAATGTTTTGCCTTTATGTATATATGTGCCTGGTGACCACCACATATATACCTGGTGACCATGAAGGTCAGAAGAGAGCATCTGGGGCTGCAGAGATGATTTAGAGGTTAAGAGCACAGGCCGTTCTTCCAGAGGTCCTGGGTTCAATTCCCAGCAAGCTCACAACCATTCATCATGAGATCTGATGCCCTCTTCTGGCCTGCAGGCAGACATGTAGGCAGAACACTGTATACATAATAAATAAATGTTTAAAAAAAATAACAAGTGCCATCTTTTCGGTCTGAGACTGAACTTTTAAAGTTTGAGGGTTTTTTGTTTGTTTTTGTTTTTTGTTTTTGTTTGTTTGGTTTGGTTTTTTTCAAGACAGGGTTTCTCTGTGTAATAACCCTAGCTGTCCTGGAGCTAGCTCTTGTACCAGTCTGGCCTTACTCACAGAGATCCACCTGCCTCTGCCTCCCGAGTGCTGGGATTAAAGGTGTGTGCCACCACTGCCCGGCTAAAGTGTTTGAGTTTTAAAGACTGTGGGACTTTAAAAAGTTGGAATGGGAGCTGAAGAGATGGCCCAGCGGTTAAGAGCACTTGCTGTTCTTGCAGGGGACATGGGTTTGATTCCCAGCACCCACATGGTGGCTCACGAACATCTGTCACTTCAGTCCCAGGGGATCTGACACTCTCTTCTGGCTTCTACAGAGCACCAGGCATGTATATGATGCACAGACACACATGCAGACAAAACACCCATATGCATAAAACAAAAACCAAGTTGGAAATGTGCTTTATATTGTGATATTAATATGAGATCTTGCGGATAAACAAAAAGAAAAGATTAAGGTTGAATAGCAATGCATTGGTGTATTAAGTTGACAAGGGGTCAACTGTTTTGCTTAGTTTTTTGTCAAGTTGACACAAGCTAAAATCCTTTGGGAAGAGGGAACCTCAATCAAGCAAATTCCTCCATCAGACTGTCCTGTAGACAAGCCTGTGGGTCATTTACTTGATTGATGATTGCTGTAGAAGAGCCCAGCCCACTGTGAGTGGTGCTGTATCTGAGGACATGGCCCTGGGGTACATACAAAAGCAATCAGAGCAAGCCAGAAGGCACACACCAGTAAGCAGCCCTGTTCCATGGGCCCTTCTTCAGGTCCTGCCTCAAGGTTCCTGCCCTGGCTCCTCTGATGATGGACTGCTTAACCTGTAGGTCAAACAAACCCTTTCCTCCCCAAGTTGCTTTTGGTTATGGTGTTTATCACACCAACAGAAATCGGAGTAAACATATCCTGGATCCACTTGAGATGCTAATGTTAATTGTTAGGATTATAGGGTTGGAGAGATGGCTCAGTGGTTAGGAGTATGTACTGCTCTTCCAGAGTCCCAGCACCAGTATCAAGCGCCTCACAACCACATGGAACTGCAGTTCCTAAGGAAAAGTGCCCTCTTCTAACATCTGTGGGTACTTTCATATATGCAAGCAAAACACCCATACATATAAACTAAAAATATGTACAACTTTTTTTGTTTGTCTTGTTTTGTTTTCGAGACTGGGTTTCTCTGTGTAACAGCTCTGGCTGTTCAGGAACTAGCTCTTGTAGACCAGGCTGGCCTCGAACTCACAGAGATCTGCCTTCCTCTACCTCCAGAGTGCTGGGATTAAAGGCATGCGCCACCGCCGTCCGGCAAAGTAAATAAATCCTTTTTTTTTTTAAAAGAGAGTTATAAATATTATTTTGCAGCACAGAAAATTCGAGCTTTTAATGCTATATGAAAAGGTGGGTCGCAAAGTACAGCGTAATTCGGGGCATGGTGGCGCATGCCTTTATTCCCAGTTCTTGGGAGGTAGAGGCAACTCTGTGACTTCAAGGTTGGCCTGGTCGACCAGGTCAGTTAGGACCGCACAGAGATCCTGTCTCAAAAAAAAAAAACAAACAAAGAAAAACAAATCAAATCAGAACAAATCAGAATTACGGCAATTTTTTTCCCCCCAGGATCAGGAAAAGAACGAAAAGCAGATATGCTAAAATGTTTACACATGGTAACGGGTGGTGAGGGGGAACAGAACTGGGTTTTACTTTATTTTTCTGCGATGCACTTCCCAAACTCTAAGAAAACGGATTAACAGAAGACTGTCACCTACAGGACAAGAGACTCAAGCGGCTCCTCCTCACTATTTACCTTGTTAGGCATTCCCCTTCCATACTAAGTGCCAACCCGCAACTGCGCGCGCACGTGACACGGTCGCGTGACCCCGCCCCCGCGCACCGCCCCTTCGGCGCGCGCACCCAGCTCCTAAGTCCGCGCCGCCGGCAGCTCTGCCTCGCGCGGGTAAGTGTCAGCGAACCCTGCCGTGCCTCAGCAACGGGTTTGTCATCGCTGCGGCAGCCCGCGGAGCGGAACAGCGGGAGGACCCCGTTTCCTCCACTCTTACCTTCTGGATCCGTTTCAGCGCCATGCTCCCGCTGCTCGGGCCGGGCCGGCCCCGCGGGGCTTGCCTGAGGCGGCCAGCTGGGCCGCAGTGCTG